CTTGAGGACTAAGGTGTGCCTGACCCAAGCCATGGTGTTTTCAGTAACCTTATATGCATGTGAAAGCTGGACAGTGAATAAGGAAGCCCATTGAAGAATTGTTGCCTTTGAGTTATGGTGTTGTAGGAGAATATTGAAAGTGCCATGGGCTGCCAAAAGAACCAATAGATCCATTTTGGAAGAAGTGCAGCCAGAGTGCCCCTTGGAGGCCAACATGACCAAATTTCGTCTCTCATACTTTGGACATATTATCAGGAGGGACCAGTCCCTGGAGAAGGAGATCATATTTGGTAAGGTGGAGGGTCAGAGAAAAAGAGGAAGGCCCCCAAAGAGATGGATTGGTCAAGTGGCAGCATCGATGGACTCAAGCGTGGCAACGGTAGTGAGGTTGGCCCAGGATAAGGCAGTGTTTTGTTCTGCTGTGCATAAGGTCACTATGTGTCTGTACCAAGTCGATGGCACCTAACAACAACAACAATACAAAACCAACAGCCTACATTACTCTCAATGGAGAGAAACTGAAAGCTTTCCCTCTGCAAACAGGAACCAGACAAGGATGCCCTTTGCCACCACACCTATTCAATATAGTGCTGTAAGTCTTAGCAAGAGCTATACGGCAAGACAGGAAAATTAAAGGTATCCATATTGACAAAGAGGAAGTAAAACTCTTTCTATTTGCAGACGATATGATCCTATACATGGAAAATCCCAAAGACTCAGTGAAAAAGCTACTAGACCTCATTGGAGGATTCAGCAAAGTGGCAGGATATAAGATCAACATACAAAAATCAGTTGATTACTCCTGGCGGCAGCCCAGCGCACAGCTCCCCAACCTCCTCCTTCTTCTCCTTGGATGTGGCTTCAGCTGGAGGCACACAGGGCAGACCCATGAGTCTGAGCAGCTCAGAGGCGGTAAATAATAGCTCTTCAAATCTGCAATAAAAGAATGGCCTCCAATAAAACTACATTGCAAAAAATCGAAAGAAACAGAATGGAAAGAGAAGAAGCAGAACCTGAAGAATTTGTGGTAGAAAAAGTGCTGGACCACCTTTTAGTTCATGGGAAAGTGGAGATTTCCTAAAGTGGAAGGGATTTATAGAAGCTGAGAATACTTGGGAACCTGATGAAAATTTAGATTGTCCAGAATTAATTGAGGTATTTCTGAATTCTCAAAAAGCTGGTAAAGAAAAACATGGTACAAAAAGGAAATTTTTATCTGATAGTGAATCTGATGACAGAAAATCAAAGAAAAAAAAAAAAGAGATGCTGCTGACAAACCCTGGGCCTTGGCCAGAGGTATTGACTCTGAGCAAATTGTCAGTGCCACAGACAGTGGTGGAGAATGAATGCTTCTCGTGACATAGAGAGATTCAGATGAGGCAGACTTGGTGCTGGCAAAAGAGGCAAACATGAAATGCCCTCAAACTGTAATTGCGTCTTATGAAGAGACTAACTTTGCATTCTTGTCCAGATGATTAAGTTCTATAATTTGTTGTATTGC